AAAAAAAAAATTCAGTCTTTAAAAAAAAAAAAAGTGCTTTCTCTCCTACCTCCTTGCCTCTTGACTATTGGCACGTCTTGCAGTGAGCAGACGAACCCCGCTTTGAGCGGTAACATGGTCCCAGATAACAATTACACTATTGGTGGTAAGCACGATGCAGTCTATAAACTGATAAGTAATAATGTACACCTGAATTACACAACGTTATAAACCATTATGACCTCAATAAAACAATAAAAAAAGGGGGGGGGAGCTTCTCTGGCTGCCCACCACGGTGGAGGCGGATTTCACATGTATACCACGTAGCCCCCACAGCCAGCTAGGGAGAGTTGAGAGGTGGAGCACCCATCTTCTGGATACTTCCGCCTCACCCGTGACAGGAGATTTTCACATATTGTGGTACATGGGGTAACTTCTGGTTCAAAACTGATTGGGCTTGAACTAAAGAAGCCTGACTTATGGCCTATCAATCATACACTGTACATCTGCTTAACCATTAAAGAACGCACTCTCTTAATATAAGAATGCATACTTCCCCTCCTGCGCCCTATTCCCCCTCCGTTAACGCCTTATTATAGGTAACTCCCTATTGGTAACCCCCATATTAGTCCCTTGATACCAGTCATGTCGACCTGCTAATTTGCAACTGAATACCTCTTTGAAATTGATGAATATCTATCCTGGGCGTGTCTAACGCATGTTCTTTGTTCTAAAACACTATAAGACTTGACTGAAAACCATGCTTCTCCAGAATGCTTTCTTCCTTTATAGAAACCACCTTCCCGGATTATAATCCTCACCCTGGCTCAAGTAAAACTCACCTTATCTCTCTTATCTATAGAATGATTATTGGTTATTTTGCCTCCACACCTGGCACTCAGACAGCCTGAATCACCACCTGGGGCAGTGTTCTTGGCCTGGGTTCACACCTGCTCTGTGACCTCAGGAAAATGAATAACCTCTGTGCCTGGATGCAGCACCTGCTTCAGTCAAAGTGAGAATTAAATGCACCACAGACGGTGGCCCTCACCGTTAGGGGGGACACAGGGCAGGTGAGCGAGCTTAGGCCTGCACCTGGCCCCAGGACCTCCCCCCAACAGGGACCAGGAATTCGGAGTTATGAATGTCAGCCCAGCCCATGATGGACAAGGGTCAGCCAGGCTGCCACCACCCAAGCCAGGAAGGGACACACACCACCCCCGCCCCCACCCCAAGCAAAAGCTCCTCCCAGTCACCCTGAAGCTCATCCCCAGAAGGACCTTCCACGCCCGGAGTAGCCGGATGACCACCCCCCCTCAGGTTTGTCCCCAGTAGGACGACCCCTCAACTCTTCCGGGGTAGGACCCCCCTGAGTCTTATCCCTCTGAGGACCCCCCCATCCAGTGCTTGACCCACGGAGGATTTCCACCCCCCCCC